TGTGTGTGTGTGTGCGTGTTTGTGTGTGCGTGTGTGTGTGTGTGTGTGTGTACTTACGTCCAGCTCACACTCGTACTGAGTGTCATCCAGCAGTGTGACTTTGATCTGCATGCTCTTGGGTCGGCGCGGCGCTCTGGGACCTTTGGCTTCTTCTTCTGCTGTTTTCTCGTCCTTTTCTCCCCTGCTGCCTTCTTCAGGGCCAGACTCCTCCTCCTTCTTCTCTTTGTCCTTCTCCTCTTCCTTCTCCACGGTAACCTCCCCGTCCTTGTCCTCGTGTTTCTCCACGTCTTTCCCAACCTTGTCCTCGTCAGTCTCTTTCTTCTCTACCTGGGTCGCCTGACAAAGACACTCTGATGATGAAGCAGTCGTGTAGTAGCTGATATATTTATGTGTGAAAACATCAGTGTCTTTGCACAAAGTGCAATTCATACTACTAATCTGAACACCAGGTGACCACCTTGTTTGGATGTAATGCCATCACAGGTGAAACTGAGCAGTTCATACTGAAAAACCCTAACCCTTACTGTGTCTAAACCGATGGATGCACATCATGCTATGGTGTCGTTTTGATGGAGATGTGCATGTCAAGCATTACAGTTCAGCAAAACCTGTGAGATCATCCACACATCTGAGGTGTCACAGCATAAACTATGTGAACATGTAGCACACGGAGGATCTTAAATAAGTCACAATCAGACTTTATAAAGGTTGAAGCATCCTATAATAAATACTTTGCAACTCGATCCATGACACATTTCCTTACATATCACGTGTAAGACCTAACTCTGTAACAGTCACCAACACAGGCTGACCTGAGCCTCAGCGCTGCTTACTGAGTGCTGGTCAAGGGCGACCTCGCCCTCCGTCTTTAGTTCAGGCTCGGGGTCAGCGATGGGTGCTTTAGCTTCTTCCTCCTTGTCCTCCTTTTCTCCTCCCTCGCTCTCACACTGTGAGCGCCTTTTCAGGAGGGAGGAAAAGAGGCGTGTGAGACCGCGGCCAGCAGGGTTGTGGTTTTGAGGCCGGAGCTGGTCGTCCTCTGGCGTAGGAGGTCTGGCGCCCTGGCCAGCTTCCTCCTGCTGCCTCGGCTTTTTCTGGTGACTTTCTGCCTCGTCTGTTGTCATGTCAGCAGCTGTGGAGGCAGATCAGAAAATAGAAATTAAATCAGACAGGTTCATGGTTCAGGCAGAGCTTAAAAAATGATACTTTACCATCATGCATCAGTCCATCATAACAGCGTTACCAATTCACAATCAGACTGATAAGAGAAATGTTTTCTCAGAGATCAAACCTTTCAAACTTTTCTGCAACAGAACGGATCAAAACCCAAACACACTAATGTCAATTCAGTTGTTAACAGTTACAGGTGGTTTATATGCTTTAGCAAAAAGGAAAGTTTGAAGCCTAATCTTGAAAGTAGAGATAGTGTCTGTCTCCTGAATCCAAACTGGAAGCTGGTTCCACAGAAGAGGGGCCTGAAAACTGAAGGCTCTGCCTCCCATTCTACTTTTAAATACTCTAGGAACAACAAGTAGGCCTGCAGAGCGAGAGCGAAGTGCTCTAACAGGGTGATATGGTACTACAAGGTCATTAAGATAAGATGGGACTTCCTGATAATAATGAATTGCAGTCGTCCAGCCTGGAAGTAATACATGCAGCAGTTATCAAAGTTCCTGTACAATGACGATGTCTGAGGGATGGTTACCAGGATGGCAGGATGCTGAATTAACTGGGAATTTATTCAATGAGTATTACAAAACTGCTCAGTGGCTAAAAAATAGAGGTTGTGTTTTGGCTTTGAAACTGACTACATTTGAATCCCAACGTTTGATTATTTAAAAAGCGTGTGAAATGAACCCCGATCACAGAGCGACAACAAAAGCATCTGACCTGACATTATTACATCATGTTATCATCATTAAGCTGCCACACTGGGCTGCAGGGTCAGGTTTTCACCACTATTGCTAAAGGGCTGAAAGCTACACTCTCACTTTCAGACGATGCTAATGGCAACATAAAACTGGTGGTGACTGCTGGACGTGTCTTCTGGCAGAACAGTCGTTTTCCTGTCTGCTTGTCACAGTGATCCCATCCGCAGCTCGGTTTGGGATTAATGTGGTCCTATGGGAATCACACCAGGTGGGTGGCTGCATCACCATCAGCTGATGACGCACAACAGTCAGAAATGTTGCTGCTGTAGCACCCCCCCCCCCGTGCACAAACACATCCTCCAACCACACACACCCATATTTTGCCCCATTGCAGTTAATTTTACACCTCAAACATTTAGTAAACAATTAAGCAAATACAAGGAAACTGCAATAAATCACAGGTAGCAATAAAATAAACTACTAACTCTTTTACGCTACGTCCACACACGGAGCTGTTTCTATGCGTTTGGACCTTTCGTCCACATGTAAACGGCGTTTCGAATCACCGAAAACTGAGATTTTTTTTTAAAACGCTGGAATACAGAGTTCGTCACACAACGTCAAAGGTATGTGCCTTTATTCACGTCACGCTGTGGCCACGTTATTGTTTACATGAGATGAATCGCAGAATGGCAGATAGAGACAAAATACTGTTAATCTGACTGTCTGCAGGTTTTACACACAGTTACTGTCCCTCCATTTACAAAGGCAGAGGCGTCACCGTGTGATTATTTTACTGTAGTTGTTTTTTTCCTGTGTAATAATATTCAACATTGATATCAATACATTTTTCAAAAAATGCCTCTCTGTGCAAAATAGGTTCAAAAACATAAACAGCTGTGGGATCCTGTTAGTCTGTGATTTGAACCGAGGGAACAAATCGTGGCAGGATCAGCCTGATGTTATTTGTATCCCGCTGTAACTTTACTGTATAAAGAGCAAACATCTCCAACATGTCAGGAGTAGTTAGTCGTTACAACAAGTGTTTGTGAACTACAAATCAAGAATGTGGGATCCTGTTTGTCTGTGATTTGAACAGCCCAGCGCTGCTTATCATTATTATCATTATAATATATTATAGATTATCAGGGCCTGACATCACAATCAAAGACAAGTATCCACTGCCTTTGATGAACTCCATGTTTGACACTCTTCACGGAGCTGCTATTTTTTACCGAACTCGACCTCCGCAGTGCATCCGACAAAGAGATGAATGGAAAACCGCATTCAATACACCAGCGGTTTTTTGTCTTCATTTATGTTGGAAGTGATAGCAAAGCTGTACATTTGAATTTGTTTCCAAAACCCCGCCTTCAGGACATACTATATTGTATTTAGATAGAAGCTAGCGAGCTAACTTCCTGCTAACTTCTAACTCCGTTAAATGTCATAAATTCTGTTTTCATGGATGCCTGGATGTTAAACTCAATTGTAACACCTGGTAGAGCAGAACGCTGATCATTTTATTAAAGATGAAAGACTTTAGACAGTTTTTCAACTCTCAGTAATGCCACAGTGATCCAGTTAAGATCACCCAGACATGGCTAGTAACGTCAGACTTAACGACCGGATGCCCACAGGACGAGGGACTACTTCCAGGAGAATAACATCACTGTTTGGGACCATCCTGCATGTTCCCAACAACATGACAACAGTTCCAGACAGTAGATGCCCTTCATG